GTGTTCAGCGTGGAGATATCGCCAGCTATAGTTTCTTCCATTCTGATTTCTTCTTCATTTATCCCTTCGTCCCCCATGGGGCCCTCATCGTCTTCATCACCTACAAGCAAAAGGAATCTCCCTTTGCACCGATGGCCCGGTGTGTATTTCTGATCACAGTGGAAACAAAGTCCTTTGTCTCGCCGTTCTCATAGTTCTGCTGCCGAGAATCGCTTAATGGGTAAGGCATTAGTCTGACGAGGACTTCCAACGGGTACCGGAGCCGGCAGTAGCCCCTTAGTATTGCTACCTACAGGACCAGTGACGGTGGTGGATTGGGTTGGCACCGGCTTGCTGGGAATAGGCGTAATGCCAGAAACGCGGGAGTACCACCTATTAGTAGTTTCTGTTAAAGGTTGTACCCGTGTGCTCCCTCTGTATGCACTTTTACATTCTGCTAGCAACTCTTCGTGATGAGCTTCATAAGCTTTGGCTAAATCGAAAGCCTCGAGCACTGCTTTTGGCTTAGCCATCAACAATTCCCGTCGCAGATGCGGCCTTAGTCCCCCCACGACATAGGAAACCAGTTGGGCTTCTGAAACTCCAACCACCTTGTTTAATAATTTTTCAAACGCAGTCTGAAATTCTGCCACTGTACCATTTTACGTTAATTTGGCGAGGTCCGCCAAAGGATCTTCAAAATGCGTCGTTCCAAATCGTTGTTCAACCTTTTCCAAGAAATCATGCCACCCAAAAAGCATGCGGTTCCGCTTCATCCACTGGAACCATTCGGAGGCATCGCCTTCCAAGCAAAAACCTGTTATTTGAAGACGGTGAGGCTCGGGCGTTTGATGGAAATTGAAGAACTCTTGGATGTTAAAAATCCACCGCTGCGGATCAGTTCCATCGAACTTGGGAACATCCAGGCGCATGCTACCGGGTCTTAACACCGGATTATCGGAGAATCCTTCCTCCGTGCGAACTGCTTCTACAGGGACAACAGGGACCGCAACAGATTTTCCCATGCTAGAAGTCGTAGCTTCGACCTCCGCTCGTGTGACCGCTTTTCCTTTTTCCACTTGAGTTTGCCACTTCGCCTCCATGGAAGCCATGAAGGAGTGCAGCTGGTCTCGCCATTGGGCTTGTAACTGAGCTTCCTGCGTAGCCATTAATCCTTCCAACATCTGCTGTATGTTTTGCAGAGTCAGCTGGTCATTTGGCGTATCAGACATTTTTTTTTGTTTCTTTTTTTAAGTAAGCAAAGATAATATCTCTCAACAAGAGTACCAAATGATACAATCGCCCCGCGACTATATCGGATTGTCCTATTTCGAGTAAGAACACAACTCCACAGAAGAAGAGGGAAGGTTTAAGATACTGGATAAATTCCTCACACCCTTCTCAGACTTATTACAATGCTTAAATAAGAAATAAATAATAACAGACTGACCTACATCTAGAAACGCTAAGGAACTAACGTGAAATATTAACCACATAATCAGCATAACGACGTGGCATCTTTCGCGATCTTTCCGGCCTCTTAACCCTTTCACGGTTATCTTCCCCCGGCGCATCATCCTCTTGTTGACTAGGCCCTGAGACTGTATCACCATTTGTATATATAAAGAAGTTATAGGTGTCTCCTACTCCAGTGTGGTTTTGCTATTTTTTTTTTTTTTGAAACAAGATAGGACAAATTTAAAATAAATCACTTTTTTTTTCCGAATAATAATTTGATATTACTAACATAACACACACACACACACACACACACACACATATATATATATATATATATATATATATATATATATATATATATATATAACTGTTTGATTTGGTTAAACAGTCCGTATGAGTTTTTGATTAATTAGCTTTTTGTAAAAGTTTATTGCTCTAAAATACTAAAATTCAAAAAATTGTTCAAAGCAGCTTTTTCGATAAGCTTTTTGAGAAAGTCATTTAGCATTTAATCAATTATCATCTAACAACTAATTTACCAAACATATTTCTATAATTAGCCAATGTTATCAACTTGACAAACTCACTAACCCAATCAACTAACATCAATCAGCTAGCAACTATTTACCAAACACCTCATTAAAAGTGATTTGAGAAGGTTCATACATATTGGTACATATACACCTATATTTATATATGTATTTATACATGTATATTGAGAGAGGGAGAGAGAGAATTTTACATTGGTGCCAAGAAGATGAAAAAAGCAGTTCCATTTGCTATCAAAAAGAAAAAAAAAAAATTAAAGGGTCAGAATAAAAGTGTATTGAATAATTAGAAAAAATCAGAAATTTTCATATGAGAGAATTGAAGAAATATAATGAACATACCAAAGATCCCAAAAGCCAAATGGAGAGTGCGTGCTAGACCATGCATCTCTCTAAACTAACACTCAACTCTTAAACCGTGCACCAATACACGTTTCCACTTGTGGCATTTATAGAGTTTGGAGCTGAGGAATGATGTGGCAATTTGTTATACCATGGATTAGGGTCATATTGCATTGTGAACTATGGTCTAAAAATTATGTGTTTGTAATTAACACATTTTACATTTGTTCAATAACATGGTAATTACAAACATATAATATGATAATTACACACATAAATTGTTAATTATATGTATAGAATATGTTAAATGCAGACACATAAGGTGTTGCTTAACATGTTATGTATCAGCAATTAACATATATATTATGTACCTGCAGTTAACAGTTTATGTGTCTGTAGTTATTATGTTATGTGTCTATAATTAGTATGTGATGTGCCTTCAATTTGTTTACATGTATAGAAAATGGTTAGCTGCAGCCTGCAAGTGCAAAATTTGATAACTGCAAGCTAAGTACAAAATCTGAATATTAAAATTGTTAACTGCATGATATGTGGCGTATGCTCATAATAAGCTTTACTGTCTTGCCTTATTTTGATGACAAAGACATTCATAAAGTTACTATTTATGGATTCGAGATAATACTTACTACGAGTAAGAGAAATAATAAGAGTTATTTATTAATATTAACAAAAATTTCGTAGTCAAACGACATAAAATGACTCTTTTAAGTGGGAAGTTATGAATTTGAATCTCGGTGGAGGTGGTATTGATTCGTTAAGAAAATATATATGAACAAATACTATATGTAACAGGATCAATAGTACTCATAGAAAAAAATAAATAAATAAATAAACAAAGTCGAAGGGCTTTGTGAGATCAATGGATTTAAATGGTCCAACTAGTTTAATATTAATGTCACTACTTTAATCACGCTATTATGATGATATATTAAAAATAAATATTTTAATATGGATATACTAAAAATGAATAGTCTAATTTACAATATACTAAGAATAAAATTTTAATATATCAACAATAAACATTTTAGATACATATTAGTGATTCACTTTGTTTCATCTTAATATGGACCATGGTACATAATATATTGAATTGATGGAAGCTGTGTAAGCTAAGCCTATATTTCTACTTAATTATAGGCAACTTTATCTCTCTTGCGCACTTCGTCATTTTTCTTTATAAACATTATTAATATATTATTGACACAATGAGTGATGAGTCAAATCAAAATATCGTGTCGTGGCCACATTAGGCTAACAGAGAGTGATTAGCCTTTGGTGCGGAAGAGCCTTTAATTCAAAGTTGGTTTGGACTTTGCTTCCGTGCAATTTTTTCTTTATTATATTATGTTGATATATGAGATGCAATTATTATTACATGGCAAAGTAAATTTTTAATATACTAAGGTCATCATCAATAGGGAAATTTTGCACAACAATTAAGAAAAAAAATAGGTATATGGATGAGAGAGGAGAGAAGAGAGAAGGGAGAGGCTTTTGCAATAAAATGGAGATTTTGTAGTTTTGTGGGTCCCATTCTTTTTTTTTATTTGCGCATATTGTTGGCGTTGTGTAGAAACAGCGCGCCCGCTGAGCGCGTTAAGCTTTTCTTTTCCTTCTGATTTTTAGTTTTTTTTTTTTCTTTTTTTCTTATCTCTCATTTTCTCTTTCCTAATCACACCTATAAAATCCCCTCAAAATCTTCATACTATTGAGGATGCCCTAAGGGTAATATTATTTATATACGTAAGGTATATTTTTTGAAAATATATTTTTAATATACTAAGGGTACATTATTTTTTATAATGTACCTTCAGTACAAAAATATTATACATTCAATACAAAAATAATGTATTTTTAATATATTAAAAATGTACCTGATATTCATGTCCACACAATTATGTGGACCATGCATGGTCCACACAATAATTTGCCTATGAGATGTGCATGGGTCGAAAGTGATAACTGTTATATACTAATTAAATAGTATTTTCACCCGCACGATACACAGAATGGATTTGCTATAATATTTTAAGAATATTTAAATCGATATATAATTGTATAAATTATAACATCAAATATTATATAGTGCAATTGAAAAGATGGTTTGGATCGATTATGTTTTGTGATGTTATCCTTGCTTGAATTCGACCAAATAATTGTTGAATTAATAGCTAATATGTAGATGTAAGCATCCGGTCCTAAAACTTTGAGGATTTTATATATCAGTGTTTATGATTTGTATAACTTGAGCAAATGTGCTATTTGAAAAAAAAAAACATGATATCATCGGTTCGAAGTACACATTATTGAAAATCTTTTTGTAGACGACATTGGTTGTAGTAACAGAATCTTGTCCATCCTCGTCGAGAGCTAACACCTCTTCAGGCCATCAGGATGGGTGACTTGGAAAAAGCCACGTACAATTGACCGTGATTAAATATTGGTTTTTTCAGCAATAACCAAACATGAGTTAGTGTTTGACCCTGACTTTTGTTGATAGTCATGGCATATGCGAGCATCAATGAGAATTGTTTACACTTGAATTTGAACGGCAATCTCGTAATGAACAAATGTTGTAATGATGCATCCATAAGTGGCCCTATAAAATCACAATCATTTTTAATCAATGAATACGCATAAAGGCTCAGTTATTGTTGCCCCATGACATTTTCAAGCTAGTTTTTTTGTATTCTGTGCCTTGATGGTTGAACCTTGCAACCAAAAATTCCTTATCTGCCCTTCTGATGCACCAACCGTTCTAAATCCGGCTTCTGTCCGGCTTGTGAAGTACAAAGAGATTGTTAGCTTTTTACTGTAGCTATGTGCTGGTCTGACAATCCATCCCTTAACTATTGTACTTCTCTTTCTGACAACCCATGCTTGCATTTAATGTGAATGTTTATTCTTTCACGCCATTGATCGTGTTCACCGCATTTAATTTCCTTGTTCCTCTCTCTGTGCTCAAATTGACAGCATTCACAGCATCATCAACACCTTCTTCAGGGAACCCGCGACCATCCACCGCTGCCATCAGCCTCTACCCTTTTTCCCACCGGCGAGACACCATCCCTGGCCTCGTGGCCTCTCCTCTGGCGTAGGCAACTAAGAGAATCGCGACCTCTGGTGGCGACTTCGGCTCGGCAGCAGCTGAACGGAGGTAGCGGCTCTTCGACGGCGTCCCCTGTTTTCCACGCCGCAGGCAGTAACTTCTCCGACCTCTGCTTCCCTGTCGACATCTTGCACCGGTGACCAACAACAAAGAAGGAGTTGATGGGTATTTGTGCTGACGTGAGCAGATGTGAACGACGGCGACTTTGGTCCTCTTCCTGGTGTGGCCAAGTCAACAGCAAGGAGATCCGGTAGCATGGATGATGACCGACGATGAACGGATCCCCCACCGGCGAACGGATTAGAGACCGATAATTGTGTGGCTGTTGAAGGTAATACTATTTTTGCTCTATTGTGGTTGTTGATAAGACAGGAAAAGAAGCTCTTTGCTAAGATAAAGAGAACTGCTAAATCTGGAAATGAGGTGGGGGTTTTGGTTGCTTATTCTGTTGGTAGTCTTCTTAGGAGACTTTATTTCATTTTTCAATTCCTTCGTTTCAGGCAGCGACTAAGATTATAGCACGTCAACAGGTCACGCTAATGCAGCAAATTGTTAACTCGACAGTTGCCACCGTGACCACTGGCCATTCTGGGTCGACGACAGTCTACCTCTATTGCCTGGTAATTGAAATGTCAATTTCTTTTTGTGTTTTTATCATATATTATTATACATTACCTACTGCTTAATGGTTCTGAAGTTTCTAATACCTCCCATCCTTTGTTTTTTGGGTGCAAAACTCCTTTTATACTTTTTAGATTTCTCTTAATGAAGTTACGGATGAAGCAAAAACAGAAAGGATGAGGAAAGAAGAAGAGTTGCAGAGAGATGGAGCGAAGGGAAAAAAATATCTATCAGTTGTGGAAGAACCTGCAGTTTATGTATTTATACAATGGACTAATGGAATAACTGATCTGTTGCGTGAGTAGCTGTACTCTAACAGAATAATACAGCTGTTCAACTAATTTAAAGCTCTAATAGACTACTTTGTTGTGCACCCTCTTCACATGTGTCTTCTTGTTCATGTGCACCATCCTTCAATATGCCCCCGCAAGTTGGAGAAAATATGTTATGTATTCCCAACTTGGAAGTGAAATTAAGAAAGGAACCAGGGGGGTGAGGTTTAGTGAAAACATCTGCTAATTGCTGTCCAGTAGAAACATGTAGGAGCTTGAGGAGACCTTTCTGTAACTTTTCTCTAACTAGATGGCAATCTAACTCTATGTGTTTTGTACGCTCATGAAAGACTGTGTTCTCCGCTATGGCGATAGCAGATTTACTATCTGAGAATAGAACTGGGGGAGAAGCAGGTTGCACCCCTAAATCTTGAAGTAAAAAACTAAGCCATTGAAGCTCGCAGGTGGCAGTGGCAATGGCCCTATACTCTGGACGATCTAGACACCGTTGGCTGTTTCTTTGACTTCCAAGAAATGAACTGGAGTCTAGGAAGATACAATATCCTGTGACTGAGCGCCTAGTGTCGAGGCATGCTGCCCAATATGAGTCACTAAAACCCTTTAAGACCAAAGCGGAGAAAGCAGAGTAGAATAATCCTTGTCCAGGGGTCCCTTTGATGTACCGCAAGACTCTGTGGGCGGCCTTTAGGTGTAACTCTGTCGGTTGATCCATAAATTGGGAGAGTTGTTGTATGGCAAAAGAAATATCGGGTCTAGTAACAGTGAGGTAGATCAATTTTCCAACAATGCTTCTGTATATCGATGGATCATGAATAATAGGACTGTCATTCTTATGTAGCTTCACAGAAGGAACCATTGGGCTGTGGACTGGTTTGCTGTCCAAAAATCCAGTTTCCTCTAACACTTCAAGAGCATATTTTCTTTGGGACACATTGATACCAGACTTGTTCCTTGCAACTTCCAATCCAAGGAAGTATTTTGCAAGTCCTAAATCCTTGATCTGAAAGGTGGAATGAAGGTGAGCTTTAATATTCTGTATTTGTAGTTCACTGCTGCTAGCTAATAGTATGTCATCTACATATACTAGCAGGGCTATGAAGGAATCACCTGTACCTTTAGTGAACAAGGAGTGATATGAACCTGCTTGGACAAAACCTTGTGCAAGAAGTTCTGTTGTGAGCTTGATGTTCCACTGTCCACTGGCCTGTTTAAGACCATATAAGGATTTCCTGAGTCTGCAGACTTGCCCAGGTTTAGGAGGACTACAGCTTGGGGTGGGACCATGTATACTTCTTCATCAAGATCCCCATGCAAAAAAGCGTTATTGACATCCAACTGGTGTAGGAACCAACCTTTGACAGCAGCCACGACAAGAAGAGTTCTTATAGTTGTCATCTTAGCTACTGGGTTGAAAGTCTCAATGTAGTCCAACCCAGGGATTTGGGTATAACCTTTAGCCACAAGCCTGGCCTTGTAACGTTCAATACTGCCGTCTGGATTATGCTTCACTTTGTATACCCATTTGTAGCCCACTAGTTTCTTGGACGGGGGCATGTCTACAAATTCCCAAGTCTGATTAGTTTCCAATGTTGAGATTTCATTATCCATAGCTTCTTTCCAGCAAGAATGTCTAACAGCTTCTTGATATGAAGAAGGTTCTTTAATGGATGAGATGTTTACAGAAAATACTTTGTGAGCCTGAGACAGATTGTTATATGACAGAACCTTTGAAACAATGTGTGGACTGTTTTTCTTGTTTTGTATGGAACATGCATAGTCATCAAGATAGGTTGGTTTAACTTTGTGCCTGTTGGATCTTCTAATCACTGGTTGAGGGGGTGTATGTAGGCATGATAGCGGTTCTGGTTCCGGTTCGGAACCGCCGGTTCCGGTTAGAACCGGCGGTTCTAACCAGAATTTCTTCAATTTGTTTTTTTTTTTTTATATATATTATGCCACTCCGTATTTGTTACTCGCCAGCAAAGCCTGGCGCAAAGGCCAAGGCTTGGCCTTTGCGCCAGGCCAACTGGCGAAAGTGGCCAGTAGGCCACTCGCTAGTGGCCTACTAGGACACTTTATTTTTTGGTTTCAATATGAAACAAAAAAAATAAAGTGGCCCAGTAGGCCAGGCTAGTGGCCTACTGGCTTTTGGCAAGTTTTTTTTTTTTTTTTTTTTTTTTTTTTTTTTTTTTTTTTTACCGTTTGGAACCGGAACCGTCCGGTTCTGAACCGGAACCGGCGGTTCCGGTTCCAAGATTATACAAACCTTAATCGGAACCTTATAGGTTCCGGTTTGCATAGTCACGGTTCCGATTCGAACCTACGGTTCGAACCGGAACCGTGGTCACCTCTAGGTGTATGGATTACATTTGGTTGAGCATTGTGATCAGAAGGACTGGTGGGCAATGAAGTGTCTGCCATTGGATATGGGTTATTATTAGACACTGTGGTGTCTGTTTCATGGATTGTAGCTTCTAGACTATCATCTACAATGTGGTTCTGTATTTCTTGGGGAACATCTTGGGTTGGTAAAAAGGAAGGTTGGGGTAGGATGAGGTACTCTGGAGCAGTGGAGGGAGTTGAAGAAAAGGGAAACACACCCTCATGGAAAACAACATCTCTAGACATGAACACTTGCCTAGTAGTTAAATCATACATTTTGTACCCCTTAACTCCATTGGTGAACTCAAGAAAAATACACTTTCTAGCTCTAGGATTGAACTTTGTTCTATGAGCAGAAAGTGTTGAAGCAAAAGCTAAGCAACCAAAAACTTTCAAGTTTGAGTAGGACTGTAGGAGGGAATTTTACCAAAAAGGACCTGATACGGTGTTTGATTTTGAAGGACCGAAGATGGCAGTCTGTTGATTAAGTAGACGGCCTGGATGACACAATCGGCCCAAAATCTTTCTGGGAGGTTGGCCTGAAATTTGAGAGCTCTGGCTACAGCTAAGATGTGCCCGTGTTTTCGCTCTACCACACTGTTTTGTTGAGGGGTTTCAACACAACTTGTCTGATGAACGATTCCCTTTTCAGCATAAAATGAAGGCATGTTGAATTCCTGACCGTTGTCACTACGGATGCTCTTGACAGATGTAGAAAACTGAGTCTGGACAAAAACACAAAAATTTTGCAGCAGCCCCCTTGTCTCACTTTTGTGTTTTAGCATGTATACCCAAGTGGATCTACTATAGTCATCTACTATGGTGAGGAAGAAAGAATCACCATAAATTGAGGATACACGGTTAGGCCCCCAAATATCAACATGAATCAAATCAAAACAATTATTAGTGGTTGAAGTACTCAGGGGGAACTGCAGTCTCTTTTGTTTAGCAAAATGATATATATTTCACATATAGTGTTTCTTGAGGTACAAATTGAAGGATCTAAGCCTTGTAACACTTTAACTCTTGGGTAGGATGGATGTCCTAGTCTATAGTGCCAAGTGTCCATGCCACTGACAGTTTTATTCACAGTATTTACAGCAAAAACATTATGAGGAATAACATGTCTACTTGAGGTGTTATCATCAGAATTAACAGGAACAGTAAATTAAATGATGGTGAGACAAGCTTGTATAGGCCTTCCTCTTGTTCAGCTAGTCCAATCATCTTCCATGATTGAGAGTCCTGAATGATACACTGATTAGCCTTCAAGAAAATGCACCATTTACCATCTCTTAAGATTTGACTGACAGAAATCAGATTAAAATGAAAGCCAGGCACATAATAGACATTATGCAGTGTAAAATCTTTAGAAAAACACACAACTCCTACGTGTGTCACGGGTGCTTGATGACCATTTGGTAACTTGATGGATAGGTGCTTAATAGGTTCATAATGAGAGAAGAACTGGACATCACATACAATGTGGCAGGTGGCTCCTGTGTCAATTAACCAACTAAGGGAATCAAACTGTTTTTGAGGATAAAACTTACCATAAGGCTCTTTGTGTGATCCAACGTCACAATCAGCAACATTGACTTGATTTGCCACCAAGGGGGGTTCGGTCCTAACGAGAAATTTGGTGTAGGATTGGAATTTTGTCCTTCTTTGCCAATGAGATACAAAATCTTCTCATACTGGTCTCTGGTGAAACCTCTTGTGTAGTCAGTGTCATCTTGAGCTTGTGACACCTGAGCAGCATTAGCTACCCCTCCAGCTTTCCCTTTCCCTCTATAACCAGGAGGGTAACCGTGTTTTTTGTAACACTTCTCAATGGTGTGACCTGTAAAGCCACAAAAGCTACACACAACAGTCTTCTTCTTATTATTATTGAATCTCCTGTTGTTATTTCCAGATTGGTTTGTCTTGGCAAAAGAGGCATTGGCATAGTTTGTGTTTATCACATTGTTATCAGCAGGAGGGGTATTGTTTACCAGATTCTCAATATATGGTGTGTTAGGGAAAATTTGCCTCTCCTGAACCTGTAACATGGAACAGGATTCCCCCATGCTTGGGAGTGGTTTCATTAACAGGATCTGTGACCTCACCCCTCCATAGAGTTGACTGTTTATCCCTTTTAGGTACCTAGCAGTTTGATCATCTTGAATGTGGTTTTTGATTTTGTCAAAAGCTCCACAGCTACATTTAGGATCACAAGTGCATATGGGGAGAGGCCTAACATTATATAGTTCATCCCATAAGAGTTTTAGCTGAGAATAGAATTCACTCACAGTATTGCCTCTTTGCATCAGATGATATATTTCTTCATTGATGTCGGCGATTCTGAAGGCATCGCCCTGGCCGTACCGTTCCTTGAGATCATTCCAGACCTCTTCCGCAGTCTCCATCCACAGAACTCCTTGAGCTACACTTGGAATAACAGAGTGCAAGATCCATGAGAGCACAAGGTTGTTAGCTCTGCACCATGCAGGGAAACTCCTTTCTCTCTTCTCCGACCTTTTGATTTCTCCATTTACAAACTCCAATTTGTTCTTCGTCAGTAGAGCCATGTGCATGGCTCTCTCCCAAGGATAATAGTTGTTTCCGTTCAGTAAAACGGAAACTAGAGTTTGTGAAGGATTTTCGCTAGTAGAGACGTGATATGGATTGCTGGTGTCTTGCGGATTGACCGTGATTTCGACCCTAGGCTCATCTTCTCGGTTGTGAGGTGCTTGCGGAGCGTTTTGAGCAGCTTGATTGATCGGAGCAGTCCGATTATGTGCTTGTTGCGGACAAATCGTAGGAAGTGCCGAAGTTCCGATGCCTGGAATGGAGGATGTGTTTTGCCACGCCATGATAGAGGATTACGCCTTCTTTGCTTAGTGTTCTGATACCATTTTAGATTTCTCTTAATGAAGTTACGGATGAAGCAAAAACAGAAAGGATGATGAAAGAAGAAGAGTTGCAGAGAGATGGAGCGAAGGGAAAAAATATCTATCAGTTGTGGAAGAACCTGCAGTTTATGTATTTATACAATAGACTAATGGACTAACTGATCTGTTGCGTGAGTAGCTGTACTCTAACAGAATAATACAGCTGTTCAACTAATTTAAAACTCTAATAGACTACTTTGCTGTGCACCCTCTTCACATGTGTCTTCTTGTTCACGTGCACCATCCTTCAATAATACTTCTCATTATTCTAGATTTAGAGCAAAGTTGGTGTAAATATCCTACCTATGAGCTGAACTAGCCTCTTTGTATGGAGCATATTGTCTCCCACAAAATTCTCCTTCCTATCATACCATGGTTGATGCAGAAGTATAAGTCTTGGACATTGGTAAGGGTTTAGTTAAGTTGCTTACTTTATTTTCTAACATCTCCTTATGACTGAAGTTAAATTTTCACCTTTTTGTTTGTGTGGTTTTCTAACTTCATTTAAACTTTACATAGTCTCGTAGTTTAGATAAGTAGCCTTTTAGTGGATAACTTATGAACAGAGTCAATTCGAGCAATGATTCTCCATTGCGATTTTCCAAAATTGGTTCTCTGTCTTTTAATTTGGACCAAATAGACACTTAATTATCAGATTTATTCCGGCAATGGTCCTTCCGTCATCAGTTTGGTTGGCCTTAAATAGAGGGGTACATAGTTCATTTCCTTTATTGCTTGAATTTTTCTTTCAATTGATTCTTCTTTCTTTTTCTCAGGTTTTGCAATACAAGGTTACCCAGCGATGTGATAATCGAAGCATATGACATGACCTTCCATCTTCACAAGGTTTGTGTTCTTCCCCTGGTTCAATGAAACTTCCAGCATAGTATAGTATATATATATAGACTCATGGAGTTGTTTCTGTGTTTTTTGTCGGCTCAGTTTCCTTTGATGTCGAAAAGTCGAAAGCTTCATGAATTGATAACAGAGCAAGAGACAAAACCCAGTGGTGCTAGAGTCCAAAACCCAGATGGCGACAGAGAGATATGAGAAGAAGGTGTTGAGGAGCTGCAATGTCACATCTCGCTCCGTAATTTTCCGGGCGGTTCCGAGACTTTTGAGGCCGCTGCCAAGTTCTGCTACGGCGTCAAGATTGACTTGTCGGCATCCAACGTGGCTCCGCTCCGGTGCCCGGGCGAAGTGCATCTTGTAGGCTTCCGTTCTTCATGAATTCATAAACTAGGTAATGACAGTCTGGTATTGGCATATGAGCTAGCAGAGGAAGTAGATTTCGATGCCTGATTTAACCCACAATCTGAATTTCTGATTTTATCTGAGGCATGCATCTTCTTATTCATAAGCCTGCTATCTTCTTCAGATCAGCTAGCAGGCTGCACAATCTTCTTTAATTTATAGCAATCAACTTCCCATTACTTCCAGGCCAGGTAACTCAACTTTGTAAACTTCTCCGCATCCACCCTTTCCAATCATCTCTAGCGACGCCAATCCAATAATCCATCTTCTTTCTCCAAGAAAGACAGGTCCTCAGCTTTCTTAATCAGTGGATTGAAAATTGTTAAACTCGAGTCTTTCCCGCGCCCTCTGATTATAAACATTAATGCCTTGAAAAGCACAGAAAACAGCACCTCTCATAAACTCCCTACAAAACCTCTAACTACAAACCCAATATTCCATCCCCTTACTTTCCTTTTGCCCTTCTGCTCTAATCTAATTGGTTCTGGTCCTGCTCTACTTGTATTGTTTCAACTATGCCCTTAACTTTGTTTCGTTTCCTTAAAATTTTTTACATGCTTCTCGACCTACTATGATTCTGTGAATTGAATTGGTTATTGATGGTTTAGGTTTGCTTAAATTCAATTCCTTTGTAAGTACTATAAGTAACTTCTGCATGCAATAGTTTGTGTTCATAATTTGATTCACAGTTCTTTTGTATTTGAGGTGCGATAATTATTTTGAGTAATATACAGAAATGAAGATTATCTTGCAAAATTGTGTTCGCTTGATCAGAAATTATTTGACAATAAGAAAGGAAAAAGGAAAAATGATTTTACACAGTGACTATATATAGTTCGGTCAAAACAGTTGCAAACTTGCAATTTTTTATTTTTATTTTTATTTTTATTTTAATGTATGCATACCAGACGCAGTTAAGGCTTATAGGATGGAATCTAAAAGAAAATTGTGACTTGAATTTTTTCATATTCCGAATGGACTATGGTCCGAAAACGGCGTCGTTTCATTAAGTAAAGAAACGACAGCCGTTAAATTTTAACAAATCTCGTATTTTTTGTGTGTCCAGAACAAAATGAAACTACAGTTATCTAAAATGAAACTGAATAATTTGTCTCGCATATTGCGTTTATATTTCAAATGAAACAGTGATTGATTGACATGATACTTTAGTTGTGTTGAAATAAAACTACAGTATGTATAAAATGAAACTGAATAACATGTCTCACATATTGAGTGTATATTGTCAAATGAAACTATAGTTATGTTAAAATGATACTTTAGTTGTGTTGTAATTAAACTACAATGTATATAAAATGAAGCTGAATAACAGTTTCACATATTTGAGTGCATATTGTCCAATGAAACCGTAGTTGAATTAGAATTATAATTTAATGGTGTTGTAATAAGACTACAATGTTTATAAAATGAAATTCAATAACAGGTCTCACTGTAATAAGACTATTGTATGTATATATAATGTCAAACAAAATTATAGTTGAAACAAAATGAAACTTTAGTCGTACTAAAATGAAACATTATATGTTATACAAACAGAACTAATTACACGGAATGGGTTCTGTTTCTTTTTATTAAAAGAAACAACACCGTTTTGGGCCATGGTCCATAGTAAAATTTGACGTTGATGGGACCCTGGGACTATTTTATTAAGAACATCTTAACCCAAAAAAAGAATAACAATGTCACTGTTATGAAGTTTTAATTATGTGGCCATTATTTAGTAGTGGTTTGTTATTCTCCTGGTTTGTAGGAGAATATATATTTGTACTAGTAATTCACCCACGCGATGCACGGGAAAAAATTATGTTAATATAAATATAAATAAAAAATAGAAAATTAAAATATTTTAAATTATTTAATATAATAATATTTTTGAGCTTCCATTGGTCAAGTATTTATTATTTTTATAGAATACAAAATTACAATTAAAATTAAAATTATAATTTTGTATGGTTAATATAATCTCTAATTATGTGCATATTCAAATAAATTTATAGAGACAATTTACATAATTACATTGATTTATTCTTAATTGTATTTCATCTATATTATAATTTTCACAATACGAATAATAACTAAGATAATTACATTTGGAAAGCAAATTTCAAATTTTGTAGGTGTAAATTTAAACTCTAATTGAACACATTTTTTATATGATTATATAATATATAACTATTTTATTTTTCAAAAGTATATTTTTTATATGATTATATAATATATAGCTATTTTATTTTTTAAATGTTGTGTTTTTTTTTTTTTTAAATAATAAAGGATGTTGTTGCATTAATTGTAGTATTAAATATATCCCAAACCATATAGCTTTATTATATAAAGGATTATATTGTACAATTGTTGAATGAATGACAGATTTTCTCCGTAATTTTCCTTGAGTACTCTGTATTTCCGTTTCCCATTTTCTCTCTCTATTCTCGGTTCTATCTCTCTGGCGTAACATAGACTCTATGCACGTTAAGTTCTCAATATGAGAAAAATGAAAATAGCAACATGTATATTATTAAATTACAAATTAAAGTCTTTATATGACCTGAAATGTAAATAATTGACTAAGGGTGTGTTTGGTTGGTGGATTTTGCCCATAGGAATGGGTATGAAAGTGATTGTTGTTGTTTGGTTGATAGGTTTTTAGTATACTACTATGGGTTTCGAATACCCCATCAATTGAAAAACCTATACCCAAATAAAATAATGGTTTCATTCCCTTATTCATTTTCAACCACTACTATTACTAATCATTCCCATTCCATTCTACTACCAAACATGTTAAATAATTTCACAAAAATCCATTACCATTACCAAGTATTTGATACCCATTCCGATTCCGATTTCTATGTGCGAACCAAACACACCCTAAGTGTTTTTCCTCTTGAAGAAGGAATATATAGATAATATGTGCCATTATGTGCTCATTAAGGAGTTGCTAATGGAGTTATTTTTCTATTATCTTAGTCCATATAAATGGTATATATAAAGATGATCGAAATACATACATAAAGAGCTTAATGATTTTAGCTCATGCCTAACGACGAAGTTTGAGATGAAATACTTGGGAAACCCAAGTATAATCTCGACTTGCAGATTGAGTATTTCCTTGAAGGAATTTTATCTAAAAATGTTTTTCACATGTTTATATGGATAAGTGTCATATTTTATCAAACTAAAGGTTGTCTAATAATCTCATGAAGTAGATAATGAACCTCTTAGACTCAGTGAGGATACCTTGAAAGTCCATTACTCCATTGTTGTTGGAGCACCATTTTAGAACCAGAAGTTCCATAATCGCAACCGGCATGATATTTGCGATGAAACTGCTAGCAACATCTAGGGCTCCTTCTATAATGAAATATTGGAATAGTGTTTAATATATTCTCCGAGTTACAAAAGATTTTGACATTTATGTGAGAAACAAATGTATGGTTTGATAGGCTACTTGGGAACTGATTCTTTTGTTTGATCCTCGTGATGCCAAATCCCAAATTGGTTAAACAATGAATTACTCTCAATGTCCTAAATGATGACAATAACGTTTGTGTTGCACAAATGATATATGAGTATGTTAAATAATATTTGACAAAGCATATATAGCATCAAAATTCAACCCATATGAGCTCTAGAAGAGTCACAAAATTATTGTGCAAGATATTTACTCCACTGACAATCCAGAAGATTTGTCCAATCCATTTCTACAAATTTTAGAAATATATTTTATGTGTGGGATTTGAAGATTGTTATCTTGAGGGGGAG